AAGGTCATAATGGACTTTTGGCCAAAAACACCCCTTTTTGCTGAAACTCAAAAAATCGTTTTTTGTAAATATCTCAGCATCCAGTAATTCAATTTTAATGAACTTTTTTTTATTTTGTAGCCCTCATTTAGCTCTACAATTTAAAAAAAAGTTCATCAAAATTGGACCACTGGATGCCGAGATATTTACAAAAAATGATTTTTTGAGCCCCTGAAAAATGGGCCAATCTGCCGAAAGTGTGACTTATGACCTGTTTTGGAGATATCCGGGGTCCTATCAGCCATAACAGCTATCACTGGTAATAGAGCTAATAATTTAAAATGTTAAGTTTTATTGAGAAACTTCTTGTTTATTTACTTTTAAAAATTAAATAACATAAGTTATTTGGGCATTGATGGGAGAGTTAAGAATTTAAAAATGGTAAGTTTCACTTTGAAACTTATTATTTTTATTTCTTTATTTATTACGTTTACTAATTTTTTTAATTTTTTATTTAATTTTCTTTGTAATTAAAATAGATTTTTTCTAATTATTGTTCTATATTTCATTAAATTGGAAAAAAATATAATAATATATAATAGGTGAAAAATGTTTCTTAGAAATCCTTATTAATTATGAAATTTTTGGAATTCTTAAAATTCCATATCTCAAAAAATTTACTGATGAAGTTTAGAAAAATAAGGTAACCTATTTTATAAATAAATAAAATTCTAATAGAATACATCTATATACTTGTATAAAGATAATTACAAAAAAATAATATATTAATATTTCTGAAAAGTCATGTTTTATTCAAATATAGCAAAATTTTACATTAGCATTAGAATTTTTTAATTATCACTAGAAAGATGATTATCAGTATTAAAAAAATATAGTGCCAGTAAAAATTGATAATTTTGGCTAACAGTAATAATCACTTCTGGTAATTTGAAGTAAAAAACTTAGCATTATATCTATTTAGTAGTAGTATTAATAAAGATAAAATTTTAATAAAATTAAATAAAGTACTTGAAAGATTACAAGTTCTTATAGTAATAAAATAAGATTTTACTTACTTTTAATAAAGATTTTTAAAAAAAATTTCAAATTTACTAGTAATTTTACCAGTAATTCTATTGGTTAATTAATCAAAAAAGGAAAAAAATCACAATAACTTAATGTAATATTTTCTTTTTTAAATATATAGTTTATTTATATATAGTATAAAGATCTTTAAAAATTTTTAATTATAAATTTTACTTTAGATTTTCAGTAACCTATTTTATAATTCAAATAAAACTATTTATCAATAATATAATATACAGTGGCGGTCAAAAGTATTGCATCACTTTTGACCTAAATTTACAACATGAATTACAATGATGATTATAATAAATTTATATTTATTTTAAAGCTTGAATCTTAAAGAATATATTGCAATTATTTTTTCGTCCAATTCATAGTGAAATCTTATATAAATTACATAATTTACAAAAATGTGAATTTTTGACTTTTTATTGAGAATAGCTACGACAAAATAAATGCCAGAATTTGATTCCTTAAGTGATATATAGTTCATATTCCAAAAATTGTAATGGTTGAGCCAGTAGTTATGGAGAAATTAGCTTTAAAAATTGGTAAAAATTAAGGTTACACATATGTAAAATGGCGATTTTCAGTATTTTTCATGATTTTTAAAGGCCGATTTCTCCACAACTACTGATTCAATTGTTACAATTTTTGAAATACGAATTATAAATTACTTAAAGAATCATATTCAGGCATTTATTTTATCATAAATATTCCCAATAAAAAGTCGAAAATTTAAATTGTTGTAAATTATGTAATTTATATAAGATTTTACTATGAATTGAACAAAAAAATAATTGTAACATATCCTCTGAGATTCAAGGTATAAAATAAATATAAATTTATTATAACTATCATTTGTAATTTATAGTGTAAAAGGCGATGCAATACTTTTGACCGCCACTGTACCTTATAAAGTAAATTTTACTTTTCAAAGTTTAAAATATATTAAATATATTTAAAAATCTGGTTACAAAAAAAATGTTTAATAATTAATTTTTCAAAGAAACTGATTTGAAGTAGCATTTTTAATTGTTAAAATAGCAATTAACATTACTTCAAAAACTAAAAGTAATAATGAGTTAGTTTAATTATTAAAGATTTATTTTATCTAAAAAAAATATAAGAAATAAATAAGAGTTCCATGTAAAAAAAGAATCAAAAACACTATAGAAATATTAAATAATAATTAATTATAATGAATAGAATACTAATAAATATTAAAACAATAGCACACTTAAATGTTTATTATATGGAAAAGCTAATCAATATTAAAAAATATTTAAATTGATGTTAATTAGTGTATATAATATAATTAGAATCAGTAGTAATAGATTCTTTATATAAGTATCATATAACTGCAGTAATAAGTTTTATCTATTTATAATAAAATTTCAATATATATATTTGATTAAATAAATTATAATACTAAAATTACAATAAATTAAAAAAAATATTGTGAAATTTACTGATTTAGTAAATTTTACCATCAATTAGCCTTTATAAAATTAAAAATTTAAGATAAATTCATTTATATAAAATTTAATACAGTAATTATTTAGCAACTTAATAGTTAATATAATAATTAAGATAAAATAAAAAAATAAAAGACTGTAATGTTGAAATATACTTTAAAATCTAAACAGTTAAGTTTTTTAAATAAAAATTTAAACTAAATATGAAATTAATTGATTTTATTTTAAAGTTTAATGTATACAATAACTTGTTATTCCAAAAAACTTTTATGTAATAGTATTTATTTAAATAATAACAAATATTTATTTAAAATAAATAGAAAAAATTGATGTAAATAAAATTTCATGAAAATAATTATATACTAATTATTTGCAAATGTTACAGTGGGAAAAGATATGCTTATAACCATTGTTATCCATTCCATTGCACTCCATCCACAATCCTGTTCATTTCATCAACAAACTTTTCTACTTTTTTCTCCAATTCTTCTTCTAATTCCCTTTTATTTGTAGAAGTTTCTTGATTCTTCATCTTTGCTAAAACTTCATGTAATCCAAGATTAGTTACGGTCACTTGTACATCCACTTTCCCTGTCTCATAAACATTTGAAATTGTTACTTTGTTTCCAGTATTATTACTAATGAACTTACGCTTGAATTTTGTACGAGTTGTTGTGACGCGATACTCGGTATTATCTGTAATATTTGGTAACACGATGGCTTTTGCATCGAAGTTGTAGCTGGAATTATCAATGATATGGCAGATCGTAGAGGGTATATCATTCATGGGTCCCTTATGAGAAAGAACTTTGAAACGAAAATCCAGGGTGGACTTCGGTCTGACAAAAGAGAGGAAGAGGTGGCTAATGTTATCAGATCGGCATTTACGAAGTTTGAGGTGGCCTTCTGGTGTAATGTCACTGGAAATAGTAATGCGTTGCTTTTCCTTAACATCAATGAGGTGAATAGAAGCTCGTTTTGTAGTGTTATCCTCCTCATAACCCAATTTCTTTAAATGACCTTCTATTACCTCTGCTATGTCAAGAGGAAGACGATTCATAAAAGTAGCCTTAGCATCAGCTTTGTTACCAATCTTATATTTAGCGAAATGTTCAAGAGGAACACAAGTCGGAAGGTTTACCACTCCTTTCTTGGCAGGGTAAAAAAGTTGCTTTCCTATGTTAGTTTGGACTTTGAGGAGAAATTTGTCATATTTATTCATTTCTTCAATAAGTCGTTTCGTGATATGTATTACTAATGTGCTGTCTTCTTCAGGAATGACAATGTCAGACACTCTTAAATAATAAACAGAATTTATATTCATTAGCAAGCTGACTTCAAAGACTTTGTTAATGAAAAATTTCATTCTCATACCTGTTCAAACTTTTCATCGAAGAAATATTATTATCCTTGTCAATTTGGCTCATTTCTTCTCCCTTATCCAAAACAAAGTACGCCTTATTAACATTATATTCGTCCACAATCCCTTGGTACTTTACAAACTTTACACTTTTCAGTCCAATCAATGGTTGGCGAAGTGCAATAATGGCTTCGAGAGGATGATTGTAAACAGCAATGGAGTTGTCGATGCAGTTTTGAATGAGGTTATGAGCGATACGTTGAGAATCGGATGAACCAGTGATTACGACATAATTTCCTTGCAACTTGCATTTAGCACCAGAACGATTTTGAATGTCCTTAATATTTGCACCACCTTTGCCAATTATGTGGGAAATAGAAGAGGTAGGTACTTCGATTTTTTTTTGCATGGTATGAAATTGTTTACAATAAAAGTGCACTATTCAAAGCAGTCGGTTAACAAAGAAACCATACTTAAATGTCAACTGTAAAATAAAGTTACCTCTAGTTAGCCTTGACCAAAACATCCATGCTGTGATACCACTGGTGACATGTTTCATTTGATTGTCAAGTAAAACATAGTACAATGTGTTTTTTGGTAAAATATTCATGAATTTTATCCAGCGATGATAGCAGTTCTTACTTGATATCAACATTATGATTGCTACTAATTGTTGCTTCAAACATCGGTGGTAGACTTTGAATTTCTCTACCGTGAAATGTTCTAAACAATTAACAGTTGAGATCGTTGCCTAAAAAATCATGCAAGGGGTATTGTTTTATGAAATAGATATTGTTTCCTGAATTAGTAATTTAATTAATAATCGTTACACATAGGCTTTGATAATTGTAATTTTGGCATTGTTGAAAAAGAACTTTTTTTTTTTACACGTTATATCATTTGTTATATGTTCTTGCGACACGGATGAATCCAAACAATTTATGATAAAAAACGGTTCAATCTGGATTACATAAAATATCAACCCAGATTGATCGAAAATTTTTTTTTAGGAAATGCCGAATTGTTTGGTAGGTTGTAAATTGGCGAAAAGATAAGTATTTTATTTTTTTTTGCTTCGGGAATGCTACTAACGCCTTTCAATTTTTTTTCCTTTAGGACATCTTGGGCTTGTAATTCGGGCTTTTGGGAGACTTGGATTTTAAATTTGTAAGTTGGAAAGTGAGATTTACTTATTGCCTTGGAAGTTAAGGACAATCCTTTGTTGTTTTCTTAGAAGGAATGGTAAATTTACTTCAAGGAATATTTCTGTAAATTGAATCGCATCGTATGTCGCTCAAGACCAAAAAAAGTGCTTGGCAACGAACCCTTTGTCAATCAACACTTAAAATATGTAGCGCAACGTATAAACAACACTTAACAGTTGAAACTTGAAAACGCATATATTTAGTACGCATTTTAGCTGAAAACGCGTAAAAACAACATTAGTTTAATTGATAAACATCATATATTTTAGTTGAAAACGTGATAATTAACTAATTAGCACGTTTATGAATATGATAACAGCTGTTTATTATTATATTTATTATATTCATCATGTTACATTACCGTAAACTAATCTAATATCATATAAGTAAATAATTTTCCAATATCTATAAATAAAAAAAATGAAACGTTGTGACATTTCATTGAAACTCGATGAAAACTAAAGAAAATAGCTCTATATTAACATTGTCTAAAGAGCCATTCATCTTGAAATCCTGTGTCCAAAATTAAAAAAAACAGATCGTTAGTTATCGTTTCATTAACCAGAAAATGGCTCTACCATACTCACAATTGTCGAAAAACCACCTAAAAAAAAGATAAATAAAGAAAAACAAAGGAAGAAACACACCGAATCTGGCTTTCAAAGACTAAAGAACAGAAGTTTTAGGATCTGGTATTCTACAAAAATATAAAAAAAGTTTTTTTTTTAATAATAAAATTTTCTAAAACTAAGAATAATACAAAAAACCTCTCCCCCGAATTCATGTCCAAAAAAGCTGTCTAAAGAATAAACGAACCTCTCCGGATTAAAGATTTGGTAAGCAAACCAAACAATAGCGCTTTGATTTAATCAAAGCAACGATCATCAATAGAAGGAGTCCACTGAAAGGTATCCCAGTTCGTGTCTTTACTGCTACAGGGTTTTCGGCAAAGCAATACTGCAAAAGTATCATTTTAGTTGAAAAAAATCTTAGCAGGAAAACGTTCTTACAACATAGCAGTGGTGAGCCCGGATGTAAAGCAACTGTTCTGTGTTTGCCCGAACAAGGTGATTGATTATATGTGTACCAGAAATGCTACCACGAATCGTAGTCCTCCTTCGGGTTCATGTTTATGATTTTATATTTGGAAAGATTCCAGTTAATCAACAACATTCTGACATGATGATCCTCAACTTCAGAATAAGACAGAAGACCTACAAGGACGGGGTAGGGTAAAAGGCACTGCATGGGAAATACCAATTAATAACAATATGGATTCTGAAAGATGAATCGAAGTTCTAACCTGATATGAATCAAATAATACGTACTGGTTATTATGTTGACCAATATTATGGAATGCCTTCAGTACAATAATAATCGGCTCCTGAAATGCCGGTCTTTGGATTAAAAATGGAATGTTCCGCAAGAGTCGTTCTATGACATCTCAACCTATACGAAGAACGGAACGATATTCTATTTATTAGAATATATTTAATGAAATTGTAAAGGATTTAGGGTAAATTACTAAAGTGAATAAATAAATTAAACAAAACTAACCGAAATTCCGTGCGTACAAAGAAATCTAACCAATCATCTAAAAAAAGAAAAAGAGAACTGTGAGTAACCGTTCGCTAAAATTAATAAATTAAAAAGAAAAACCACACTAGATTCTCGCATAGAATCAGTTATCCCATAATCATCTGACAGATAATCTTCATAGTCCGCATGATCCGATTTGATTTTGACGTAGATCCATAAATTTTTACGATATGCATAAAAAAGTTTTATCTTCCATATAATGTGTCATTTTAGCCTTAGGTTCTTAACGGCAATTCACTGGTCTTTAGAAATTTAAGAGAACTTATTTAATAACTTAACCTAAAATGTCTTCTCAAGAATCAAAAGCCCAAACTGTTAAAGATTTTATGGAAGTGTTTCCGGACCTTGTTGAAGAATTTTTGAGAGAAGTTCGTACTAGAAATTTTCCCGAAGAAGCTGTGCAATGGATTAAAAAAGTACATGCAGTTTCATTTAATTCGTGATTTAATTGCAAATTTTGGATCTCTTACCTTTTTTCTTTAAATAATTAGAGTTTTGATCATAATATTCAAGGGGGTAAGTAAAATTTATTAATTCAAAAATTAAAACTCTTATTGACGCTTTTTTCAGGAAAGATGAATAGAGGATTGTCAGTTGTTGATACACTCAAGATTTTACAAAATGATCAGTTAACTGCAGAAGAACTCTTTAAGTCTAGAGTTCTTGGCTGGTGTATTGAATGGGTAAGAAATGCAGAAATCATGTTTCATTTGACTATATGAACTAACTTGTAGCGATATCATTTATAGCTTCAAGCATTCTTTCTTGTTGCCGATGACATCATGGATGCATCAATTACGCGTCGTGGAAATCCTTGTTGGTATAAAATGGTAAGGTCTTATGTTTGACTATTTAGAATGTATCTAAATCTTTCACAAAAAACTAATGTTTTATAGGAAGGGGTTGGTATGATTGCAATTAATGATTCTTTCATTTTGGAATCTGCAATTTATTTCTTTCTGAAAAAATATTTCCGTCAAGATTCTTATTATGTCGATTTAGTCGAATTATTTCATGAGGTAATTAAAGGAAAAAATTTTTTTTTTTATAATTACAATTTTATGCAAACTGATATATTTCATAGATCACACTCGAAACTGAATTGGGACAGCTTTTGGATTTAACTACTGCACCTGAAGATCATGTTGATTTGAGCAAATTTTCGATTGAAAAGTTTGTATTATGTAAATAATGCTGCTATCTGAATTCTTATATTCATACAAAAAATTATTTAATTAGGCACCGATTCATTGTACTTTACAAAACTGCTTTTTATTCATTTTATCTTCCAGTAGCGCTTGCAATGCATATGGTAAACTATCATATATTTATATCATTAATAAGTTGAAATTTATATTTACTGTATTTACTATTCGTTTTATTCAAGGCTGGAATCAAAAATGAGAAAGCTTTTAAAGCAGCAAAGGATATTTTGTTACCATTGGGTGAATATTTTCAAATTCAAGTAAGTAAAGATTTATATAATTATAACGTTATAAAGGTTTTAATAATTTAACAATTTGATAGGATGATTATCTTGATTGTTATGGAGATCCAGAAGTTATTGGAAAGATTGGAACCGATATTGAGGATAACAAATGTTCTTGGCTTATTAACCAAGCATTAGCAAAAGTATCTCCTGAGCAACGTAAGCTATTAGACGTAAGTATATAATATATATAATATTCATTTTACATTTTTTTTTTAAAATCTTACAAATTATTATTTTAGGAAAATTATGGAAGGAAAAATCCTAAGAATGTTGCTGTTGTTAAACAAATTTATAAGGATCTTGAAATTGAGAAATTATATAAAGAATACGAAGAACAATCTTATAGCAGGTTAAATGATTTAATTTTACAACTAGATGACTCTCTCATTAAACGTCAAGTATTTTATACTTTCATGGATAGAATTTATAAAAGAACTAAATAGATTTAATAATAGTTATTATATAGGTCATACGATAGTAACTATAGTTATACATGTGACATTTTATTATAAATTATGTAATGTTAAAAAATATCTTAAAATAGATGTAACTGTATATATAGTTCATTACAGTTATATGAAAATATATTTAACTGTATATTAAATCTAAACAAAGTTATATGAGTTGCCTTTACAAAACTTGATAATAAATAGATATCCTTCCCAACAAATCTAAATAAAATGGCTTGATGGATTGACTGTAGAACTATGTAATTATTTATATACCTCAATGTTGAAGAAAAAATTTTAAATTATTAACACAACCTTATTTTAATAAATATAGAATAATTAGAACAATTTAAATAATGCCAGAATTACAAATAAAATTACAAGTATATTCAATACAATAATTTTTATTATTATACTATAAAATAAAAAATAAAATATAGTAAACAAGATAATAAATTTACTAATATAGAAATAATTCTAAAAGAACAAAAAAAATTTGTATATTTAAAATAATAAATATAATAAACATATAAAAATAAATGATTCTGCTAATACAGTCAGATCTCTATATAATTATCAAGTTTTAAATGGTAAATATATAGAATAATTATTGAATTTTATAAATCTAAATTATATTTTTTTAAAATTGTAATTTTGATCAAAAATTTTTGAATTAAATTGAAAATTTTAGAATAAATTTAAAGAAAAATCAACTTTAATTTATAGTTAATTAAAAATTAATAATTGTAAAAAGATCAAATTATTAATAAAATAATCTATAATAATATGGTGATAATGATATAATTAATTTGTAATTATAAAAAATAGGATTGGATCAGTTTAGTCCAATCTAATTTAATTTCAAAAAAACTAACCTTTTAGTTAAAATCAGATCAAACCAGTTTTTTTGATTATTTATAAAGTATAATTAAATTAATATATCTTTTTAAAATAATTTTTTTTTTTTTTCTTTGTAAAGGCGCAATTATGTTTATTGATAATAATGTTAAAGTAATACAATATATTTACAAAAGTAAAATAAAATACAGTCAAACCTTGATATAGCAAATTCTTGATATAGTGAATTTTTCAGACAATTATAATAAATTTCCCTTCACTATAACGAATTAACCAATCAAATCTCTTAAAATCTTCACTATAGTCTTATAGCGAAGTTGAGGTCTGGACCCTAGGATTCGTTATAACAAGGGTTGACTGTAAGGTATTCTAAATAAACTTAAACATTATCATGTATCAACATACTGCCCCTTCTAGCAAAATTATCTTTGTCAAAAGTATGATTGAGAAAAATGTTATCAGTTAACTCATTATATGCCTTACGACTGTCCACTTCACTATACAGAAATGCAAGATTGCTTGATTTAATATATTGTTCTGTTAAAATAGCTACAGTAGGTTTCCAAATATATTGTAATAGATAGAAGTTAGTTATCATCTTTCCATTATTAAGAAACTTTTACTTATCCATATTAGATTTTAAACCTCTAATTCTGTGACCAATCAGTAACTCCATTTTTTTTGTTTTCAGAGTTAACTTTGTTTCTTTATAATCTCTATAAATCACCCAGTAATTAACTGATTTTTTACTATTGGACGGTTTATAGGATTTTCTATTATTAAAAGCAAGTTATTTCATATAACTGATACCTCTCTAAGCTGAATAAATATATTTTATTAATTCATGAAATTTTTCTTTAAAAATACTTTCTCTAATGAAACTATCAATGGTTTTTGTATTACCTCTTTTTTCTCTAAAGTTAACTGATTAATAATTGACTAATATTTTTCTAGTAATAGAAAATGTAATTTATTAAAGTATTTTGTTCTCGTCCCTTTAAATATTGGCAATGCAAGTATTACCTAAGGTTGCTTGCCGAAATCTAGGAGTTTAGGCAAGATGGCGTTTCGCCGAAAAGCGAAATTCTGCCAAAACTATATTAAAGTTATATTAAAAAACTGGCGAAACTTTGAAGAAAGGCGAAACTGCCAAAACTTATTATAAATGCCGAAACTATAATAAATCTATAGTAAAATTTTGACGAAACTAATCATAGGATTTTGAAGAGATTTAGATAAGCAACCTTAGTGTTACCATAATTAGAAATTTGAAGATATGAAATTTAACATTTTAAAGCTGCCGCCCGAAATTATTTCCTAATTCCGAAATAATTTCGGCCAGAATTTTGTTTCCGAAATTCTTCCGAAATCCTGAAATCTTTCCGAAACTCCCGAAATTGTCCGAAACTTCTGATTGGCCTATTATAAAATCACATGACTTTATAAATTTGCTAAAATTTTATCTGTATTCTAATTCCATAATTCTGGCTCCGTAGCGATCTTCCTGACACGTGTAGCTTCGTTTTAAGCCTATGTTCAATTTGTGTAACATCAGTGCATAAAGACGCATAATTTCCTTATATGGTATATACGTTACACAAAGCGAACATAGGCTTAAATCGAAGCTACACGTGTCAGGAAGATCGCTACGGAGCCAGAATTATGGTATTATAATACAGTTATAATTTTGGTAAAAATTTTAATTTTGGTCACGTGATATTATAACAGCCAATCAGAATTTCGGAATAGTTTCGGCATTTCGGAATTAAGTATTTTTCCTAAATTAATTTTACCATTTCGGTTTCGGCAAATGGTAAAATTCCCTAATTTCGGGCGGCAAGCTTTATAACATTTACATTTTTCCTGTCACTAATAATTTCATATGGAAATTTATATCTCTCTATAATTCTGTTATTATTTGTAAACATTTGTAATTATATATTATCTTTCCTTAAAGAGTTAAGATTTAATAAGGCATAAGAATTACCCTTATAAATATTGTATAACACATTCAAACTGGTTATATGTTTGGGTTTATTAGCCCTTAAATATGTAACATTGATAGATAATCTTTTTTTTTATCAATTATTTTGAATGAATTCAACACCAAAAATGAAGGAAAGTTGAAAAAGTTATATATTAAAAGTTGTGAAAATTATTATAAATGATGGTTATAAGCTTGTTTTTAATATCTTTATTCAATTTACTCATCCATCCATATAAGTGAACCAAGCCCTTCTGTTAACTAAAAAAGCACTTACGTTATGGTGAGTCTAATACCCAGAAAAACAAAAGAAAGAAAACAATATTTTCTCAAAAAACTTGCAAGTTTTTTCTAAATATTGTAGACTGTAAATCAAGAATTCTATTTTTACAAACAAAAATGTATTTTTTAGTTACTTTTTTGTGAACTTAATTTTTGAAAATTTTTTGGGCGTAAAATCTATCAAAAAGAATTTCAGCAATAAATCATTTTTTTAAAATAATTTTATATAATAATTATTAAATATTTACTATATATAATTAAAAGAAAAAATTTCTTAATTCTAATACAATTACTTATAAATTAATAGTATATTATAAAGTTTTATCATTATTTTCTTTTTAATAGCATTTTTTATATATATATATATAAGAAAATTCATCTTAAAAATAAAATTTCCTTTAAATTAAACTTATTAAAAGTAGATTTTTTAAGTTAAAAAAACTAGTTAATTAATTATTTTTTGTATAAATTTGCAAAAAACTAATTTTTATAATAAATTTTTTTTTAATTAAAAAGATGATCAATTAATCAAATTTTTTGTTATTCATAAATTTTGTTAAAATTATTATTAAATCTATTTTAATGTTGTAAATTATTTTTTAATTAAAAATTTAACTAAATATAATGGTTTTTTTATTATTTAAATTAACTTTACAGAAACCTTAAATTTTTGAATAATACCAAATTAATATAATAATGATATTAAATATATATCATAATAATATTGATTTGCAAATGATATCATTATGATATCATAATGATATCATTTTAATATTAGTTCAATATATCAAAATAATATTGTAAAGATATTTGCTTGAAAAAATATCAGATTGATATCATCTTAATATTGTTATAATAACAATAATTTTTTTGAAAAATAGGAAGTAAATATAATATTAATAAGATATTATTTCAATATTAATTCAATATTAATATAACATCATAAAGATATTACTTTATAATTATCTAATCAACATCATACTATCAATATTGACAAAATAACAAATTGACATTATTTTAATATTATTAGAGTAATAATAAATTTTTTAATAAATGCAATATTGATATAATATTATTTTAATATTCATTCAATATCAAAATAATATCATAAAGATATTACTTTATAATTATCTAATTGACATCTTATCAATATTAACAAAATAGCGAATCAATATTATTTTGATATTGTTGAAATAATAAATTTTTAAAAATGTACTAGTATAAATATATATTGATATAATATCATTTCAATATTAATTTAGTATCAAAAAGATATTATAAAGATATTATTACTTTTAAAAATATTAATATTATTAAATTCAATTTTACAATATTTTAATAATTTGTAATCTAATTTAAAAAGTTAAGGAACAAATTGCCACTCAACTGGAAAACTTTAATAATGCCAATTTATGCAAATTATCGCTAAAAATGGCTAATACTAGGTCATCCTGTAGCCTACTACTAAGATAAGGTTTACATATAAAACTTTTTGAAGATTCTACTATAAAAGGAAATTTTATGTTATATTGTTATGATTTTTTTCCTTTTTAGTCAATTAACCAATAGAATTTAAGCAAATCCTAAGATAACTTTACAGAAACTTTAAGTTTTCAAGTAATATTATTTTGATATTATTTTGATATTATTTCAATATCAATTTAATATCGATACGATATTGAAATAAAATATTATTACTTTAATATCAAAATGATATCGAAATAGTATCAAAATGATATCAAAATGATAATAGAAATAATATCAAAACAACATCTTTAAGTTTAATTTAAAAATGTCATTTCAATGTTATCATTTTAATTATCATTTCAATATCATTTCAATATCAATTTAATATCGAAATGATATCAAAATGATAATACTTTATTTTAATATCATATTGATATTAAATCAATATTGAAATAATATCAAAATAATATCAAAATTAGTAGTGTTCCGCATGAATCAAATTTCTCCTCTGAAATTCGATTCAATTTAGACTCGATTTGGACTCGATTCGACCCCCAAAAATTATTATCTCAGGATCCAGTGATCCAATTTTAATGATCTTTTTTTTAATCGATAGGCCTCGTTGCCCTGATCAAAATAAAAAAAGATCATCGAAATCGGACCGCTAGATCAAAAGATATTCACAAAATACGTTTTTCTTATTCAGGAGCAATCAGGGTCACACCGTGTCATGA